CAGGAGCAGGAGCAGGAGCAGCAGCATGTGAGCATGTGGCATTCGTAGGTTTGCTTCCGTTCGAGAGGTTGGCATGCGGTTCCGGAGCGGTCCCTAAGCAACAGCTGATGTTTTTGACTTTGCTGTTGAGGGTTCTTGTGTCTGTGTAAGGTCTCAGTCGGGTTGACATCATACTCTCACTCTGGCCCGTGTAACGGCTTCGCCGGGTCCATCATGAGCTGAGTTCGTGGCATGATGCAGGGAGCGCCCTTGCAGTAATCCCATGTCGCAGCACATGCAAGGAGTACGACCGCACTGTGCGCGAGCTCATGTCGCGGGTCTTGGGTCGAGCAGACGATCCAGGCGCAAGCTAGCAGTTCATGCAACCTGCGGACTTACATAGTCCAGGTCATGGTTCACATCCAGAAAAGCGCGTGATAGAACCACTTGCAACGTAGCCTAGTGGCAACATAGTGGCTTTCTTGACCGCTTCTTCGACAGTTTGGTTGGTCTGTTTCACAGCTGGGGCAGATTGTCACAAGCCTGCGCGGCCTACACCTACAGAATCTGCCCTTGTGGATAATGCCCAGAAGCCATGGCAGTCCAAAGACCTGACCGCCGCTGACTTGGAAGACATACTGCACCTGTCAGTCTCTCGCGCTGGTGTGTGTGTGTGTGTGTGTTGCAGTGGAGCTCCAATCAACAGAACGCCCGTCCTCAGTTTCGGATCCGCAAAACATCAAAGCAACTCCAGGGCAAGGCAGGACATGGCTGGCCAGCCGGCCTATGTGTTGCACACCCTCAGCTGTCTCCGATTTTTTTCGCAGACCGGCAGAGAATCTCTCTCTTCCGCTCTTCCCCAAGCATCCCACAGCATACTATGGCTGCCATGGCTGCCTGCACCCAGACTCGGATTGAGGCCTTCGCGAGTGGCAGTGATCCGTCGAAGTCGAAGCATGCAAGTTTTTGCAGGGGCGTAGAATCGCATTGTCAATCCTGTCTCCAGCTCAAGTTTTAGCGATCAGCTATTTTATTAGTCATGGCGGTGCGACTCGGCTTGCTCCATCTGCTTTTCAAAGCATGCCTCGTCTTCGCCGCAGAGGATGCGCCCACCCGTCTGAAAATCTGGAGATATCAAGTTAATGCGGTTCTTGAGCCCTGCCCTCAGTGTCAGGTTTATCCGTATATTTCATGGGGGCCATCGATCCGAGCGGGGATATGTCAGGATTTTAAAGTACGCTCGAAGTCACTTCCCAGTACCTCCACCAAGATTGCATGTGCTGTGGAGGGTGGCCAGAAGGTTTACAGGTTCCCACCTGGTATTTTTGAACTTGACGAGCAGCTGCTGATCCCCGAGCGGACATCCATCATTGGAGCCCGAGACCCCAACGATTGGTCGCAGCCAGCAAAATCACCAACATGGGAGGAGCAGACTCTGTTTCTTGCAACACGAGGTGTCACAGATTACAACATGGTCTACTGTCATGCTGCCGACATGGTCACGACGAGGGTCGGATTCGTTCTCAGCAGCTACGTGACGGTACGCAATGTGAATTATCAGGGCATCGACACAATTCGGCCCAACGACAACGGTGCGCTTTGCGGCGGTGGTGCTTTTGAAACCAAAGGCTGCGCGGAGAACAGCTGCGCTGCATCTGCTGTGAACAACGGTGGCTCCGACGGCATCGGCTCTGTCTCTGTAACGGTTGAGAACGTTCGACTGAACGACTTCTTCTTTACTGAAGACCAGACCATGGTTGGAGTTCTGATACCAGGGAACTACGACTGCAAAACGGACAAGTGGGTGAGCGAGTGCTGTTTCTGCAAGCCAAATGGCGTCCGCTCCACGCAGGTAGGTGTTTGGGTTCCAGAGACTAGAAATTGGCAAGGAACTCGTGACTTACTTGTGAGAAATCTTGTCTCAAGAAGTGCACAGGCTGATGCGATCAATCTACACGGATATCTGCAAGGTGCTCTTGTCGAGTCGGTCTACTTCGAGAACACAGGTGATGACATGTACGTGGTTTGGGGGGCCAGCGCCAACCCCGAGAATGTGACCTTCCGGAGTTGTACCGCTGTGAATCCAGGCATCATGCGCCCAAACTGGTATGGAAACTGTGTTGCAACGTACGGACTCAAGCAGGTTATGTTTGACAGCATCACATGCAGAGCTCCCACACCACAGCATCCTATTTTGCAGCCAGAAAGTGGGGAGAGTTGCATTGACACTTCTATGTTCGTATTCTATACTAGCTTCGGGGGCAGCTATCCTGTGGACAACAGCATCACTGTCAAGAACTGGACCTTTCAAGACTTGGCAGGTAAGTCGTACACTCCGGAGGAAGGTTCATTGAGCAAGTATGCACCGGGAAAGATGGTGTGGACGCGGACAGCAGAGCAGCTAGCCCCGTTTTACTTGCCGAATCAGCAGCAGCAGGTCAATGTATATTTCGCATGACCGGATTGATGGAATGCACATGCACTCCGACATTGCGAGTGGAACGGGGTTGCTGCCCCGCTTTGAAAGGCCATGGCTTGCTGCCACAACTCTACTTGGCGTGGTGAGGCATCGTTGGAAGGGCGCTTGGACCTCCTGATGCTTATCAAGTCTCACATGCCACACAGACGACCATGACACAACGAGGAGGAACAGCGACACAGACGGCGTTGGGGACTATCCTCCCCACATCTTTCCACGACAGCTGCTGTTCAAGCCGAAGATTGAAAGCTTGTGACATGAAAACCTCGCTACGGATTCCGTCCCCTTTGCTGATAGGAGAGCTCCTCTCAGAGAGACTGGCTCTTGGATGCTTTTGGCATCTCGGCCAGGCTGGCCTCGCGGCGCAGCGGGCCTTCATGGACCGATGGGGTGAGCAGCTTCCCGGCTCATGTCCAGAGTTCTTCGGACCCTTCCAGGGCTCGGTTTCTGCAGTTTCGCCGAGGCTGGAGCAGATGCTGTCAATGTGCGTCGTGCTGGTCCCTGTGCAGGCAACGAAACAAGCTTGCTTGACTGCGATCATGTCTGTGGTACCGGGAGGAAGACGACGACGACAAAGCAGGATTTTGGAGCCAGGCTTGGGGAAAGCCGGAGCACGGCATGTCGTTGTGGTTGGCTTTACGCTAAACAGGCTGTTTACTCCCTCAGCGACCTTTTCAATCTGCGCCCTGGATGTTGGATGTCGCTGTGCCGGAAAAGGCGACCTCATGACATTAGCAAGCCGAGGTATCGAACAGTTGTGCTGCGCAGCCCGGAAGAGTCGGGGGCTTGGCTCAAAGTGTCAGCAGCACTGCTTCTGGTGCGACCGCGACCTTCAGGATTCCGGTTTGTGACAATCCCAACGCAGGCCAGTTTTCACCGACAAAAATCGCAGGCTTTCTTTCTAGCTCTAGCGTGCCCCGCAAAGGCATAGTCAGTATGACGCAGCCTCCGTCCAAGGAGCTACGCCGTGCCCGCATCTTCGGCATGCTTTGCTGCGCGATTTTTTGTAAAGTGTTCAATATCGGCTTATGTTTGAGTCTGCCGCATTGCTTTTGAATTTCGGGCTGCGCGAGAGATGACGAGAGATGTGAGAGCCAGAAGACAATCCCTCGAGACGCAGTCTCGTGGGGCTGAAACTGAAAGAAGGTCTGACTTACATGCTCGCGGCCTTTGCACTCCGAGCCCTTCGCTCCATTCAGGTCCCCAAATTCTTGAAATCAGGCAATACCTTCGCAGAAAAGTATGCGTGCTCGCCACAGGTGCTCGTGGAGATGGATGCTTTTCGAAGAAAGGGTTGGGCACTCGAATGTGTTTGAGGGGATTCTGAGGAAACATTTGGATGTGTCTTCACTGCAGCGCATGTAGACTTGAAAGAGCTGATGACTTATTTGCCCATGTTCGCAGCCCAGGCTCCAAGCACGCGTTGCGGGTTTGTTTCAGGCTTGAGATCGTGAAACTGGCTCGGTGCTCAGTCTTTATGCGGTATGTACAGAGCCTTACTATCTGAACTCCATCGACGACTCAGTGAGGTGCTGAAAGTTTTCCTGCGACTCCGAATGCCTTTCAGCTTCTATGTCGACGAGGCCGGGTGCCTCTTTCCAAGCAGGGCCGTGAATAGCTGATCGACCAGGTTGCAATTGAAGATGCAGAGCCTCCGAAACTGTTGTTTGGCCGCCTCGCTTGTGGGGACAGTCAGCATTCATACACAAGCCTTGTAGTCAGCCCACGTTCGCGGACGCGTAGGGAGCAGCGAAATGCTGCTCTGCTTGGCAAGCGGGATGAGCAGAAGCTTTCTCAGCACTGTGAGAGACGTCATCTCGAACGTTTCTTTGGAGCCTTATAACTTAGCAGCCAAAGCTGAGGGCCACGGAATCAGAAGCTGCGTGCGACTGACTCGGACGGCTGCAGCGGGCAGTGGGTCAGTGGTGCATGTCATGAGCAAGTTGCAGGAGGCTCTACTTCGCACGCTGAGGCACCCCTGCAGACACAATTTATGTGGGGCGGCCCGATCCTTAATGTCTTATTCGTGTTGGTACTTCGTGTCGCCTCCGCCTTCGGCCGGGGCCAAGTGATCAGCAAAGTCTCGTCGACTCGACAGGCGAACAGGCCGCTCTTTGAAGGCCTTGGAGGCCCAAATCCGGCTCTTTCTTGGTTCACCGGTGGCCGTAGTGGCTCTAAAGAAGGCTCAAGGGCCCGGCGACAACGGCGACGTCGCGCCTCAGCCTGCGGCAGCTCCCGCGGCGAGCTGGCGGCCTAAGATTTGTGAGAACGTGGGCTGGCGAAGGGAATCCTGGAGCCCCCTGTTTGTCAAACGTTATTCCAAGGAGTTGCAGCTGGTTTGCGAGAGGAAAAGCACGAGCTCTCGCTGACCTGTCTGTATTTGCACATGGACACTGCGCATGAGGACCGTACTCCGATTACCCGTCAGATTGCTGTCGCGGAGGCAAGATGAGCGATTGCCCGGTGATTTGTCGTGTTCAGCTTGCAAACAGACACAGGTTTTGCATCATATGCGCCCGCTCCTTCACCTGACTATGCTCCACCGAAGAGGGCGCAAGTCCTGGGGGGTGCAGAGCTCAGACCTTGTGTTCCGAGTGATTGAAGCTTGGTTGCCTGTTTGTCAGGCATGGCTTGTTGCCGTGCTTCTAGATCGGATATCTGCCGCGCTTCCCTGAGCCACAGTGAGTGCTGAGCTTTGGATGAAGACGGAGAAGAGCTTGCTGCAGGGCTTGCTGGAGCAAGAGCTCCGGCCAAAGAGTGGCACGAGGGCTGCTGCGTTAGAACTTGCAGAGGCCATGCTAGCTTTGTGTGTTTTAGTTGTGCATCATGTTGTCATGTTGTGCATCCAAGCTTGCGTCGAAGACGAGAGGTTCGCCGACGCAAAAATCAAGTATGGTGGGCCTTGCTGAGGTTCCATGCTTAGAGTCTTACCAGTCGAACAAGAGCAATCAGCACATTGGAGACGTGTTTTTCCGCTTGAGAATCCAGTGTCTCCAAGGGCTCTGTGCGTTTCAATGCTTGAGCAGGTCACCCATGTTTGACAAATTTCTTCGCCGTCCGAGCGATGCTTTGGATGCTGCCTCAGCTGTCCTGTATTGAGTTATCCAAGCAGAACTGATCAAAGTGCTGAATTGGTCGCAAATAGTCATCAAGGATTGGGTCCTCAAAAAGATTCCTGTGCGGATCTAAGACAAGCCTGTGAGGATCTAGGACAAGGGCATCTGACAGCAATTGTCACGCTCTCTTTGCGTTCAGGTGATCAACATGTTCAATATCGTTGAACTTGCGCTTGTTCTGCAACCGTTCTATTTCAGCACCTCAGGCCATGCACATTCATTGCACACTCGTGTGGCTTATTTTGCATTTTGTGCAGGTTCCTGACCAATCGGGCCAAGTGGTTCTACCGAACTTTTTAAGACATTCTCGAAAAAGATCCAACAGATTGGGTTCGATTCCTTTTGTGTTATTAATTATATCGGTTCCATCATGTGTCGTTAATACACTCCCAATCTTCTTCTTGCTCAATCTTGACTGACACTTGCAGGGACGTTATCATACATAGCAAGCAAAGCTCAGACACACGTTTAACGAACTTTCTCAAGAAACGGCCCGGACTTGTTTCGATTTCAAATATGGTCATCGGTTCCTTTCATCGAATGGGGGGATAGATTACTATAAAATTAGAAAAGAGGACCGGAAAGGATTTTATTAAGATGAATTAAAAAATTGAAACCATAATAAATATATATATTATATAAAAATATTTTTATTTTCTCAATATATATATATATATATTTTTTTCTTCCATTTTTTCAAAAACTTTGATAAAATTGATGAAGTAATAAATATTATAATATAGATATTAAAAAAATATTAGTATTGGGATGATAATATTTATAAAAAAATTTAAAAATATGAAAAAATTGAAATATTCTAAATATATATATATAAATTAATATATAATATTTAATATAATTATATATTATATAAATTCTATTTGATTAGGAATTTCTATTTATTATGATTTTAGATTACTAACGAGATTCTAATTTCTTGATTATTAG